TCAGCAACATTTGTGCGGACCCTGCCATCCATGGCCATCTTAAATCGTTCCCTTATCGGTATTGTTGCCCCGTTTTTAGTATCGTTAATGTGGACGGCAAATATTGAGACCACTCGTGTCCACACAAATTAATTCCAACACATATGGACACTACTAATCGATAATATCTCGAATTTGAACGTGGGATAAATTTGATAACACGAGACAAATATGTTCTAGCGCCGATTAGATATATGAGCGAAATTGCTCGATAAGAAACAATCAACGAAAAAGCAAACTTAAGATCAAGATTAAACATCTACTTTTAATGATCAAAGATCAAACTAAAAATGAGAGAATATATAGCTTATAGTTGATGTATTGGCATTACCGACGAATGACACAAAGGGGAGAATATTTATAATGTTACATGTGAAATGATAACCATTGGATGAGAGGATACGTGGCTTCATTTTTTTTAACCAAAGCATCTTATCTTAGGTATCAATTTTGACTTAACTAACATGTAGTTTCGTCCCATCCTACACATCGAAGGAAGGGTAAAGAAAAACATCTTTTTTACAGTACGTCCTCCTGAAATACAAAGTGGACTGTCAATCTCCTAAGTTTGTAGGCTTCTTCTTTGTTGTCGGGAATGACTGGATCTTTCAAGAAAATTACTATAGGTTGCATCCATGTAGGCGTTCATTCTACACACATTACATCTTTTCCCTTAACAGTTGAGGGTTCTAACTCCATCGGGAAACTTTCTAGCTCATCTATTGGAGCTGTTTGGAATTCGAACTTGATAACATGGGGTCCAATTCATCAAGCTTGAATTCCTGCTAGAGAGCATCCGTCATCTCGATCACTTGATGTCTTCATGTCCAGAATTTTAGCTTTCTAGGGCATCTAACATATCAACATCCATCAGCACCACATTAACATCCCTAGGTTCAGCCTTTTTATAAAGTTCAGGTAGAACTCCTGTGCTCTTCTCTAGTCATCCCTAACTGTAAAGATCCCATATTCAGTGGAAAATTTCATACACATGTGGTGAATAGAGGTGACGGGTCATAAATCTTTTAGGGCTGGTTTACCAGCACCCCATGGTAAGCTAACATGTTATCTACTACCAAGAATTCCATGAAGTTTAGAGTTTTCTAGGGTGGCTCTCTCATTTCCACCGCAAGATTTATTTTCCCCCATGGGATGATGCTATCGTCGATGAAGAAATACAAAGGGGTGGTGATGGGAGTTAGTTCATGATTGACGATCATCTTATCAAAAGGGGCTCTAAATAGGATGTTGATAGATCTACCATTATCCACTATCATCCGTTTCAACCTATTACGAGTCACAATGGCCCTTACCACTAGGGCTTCACAGTGAGGTAAGTGTTCGCCCTCAGCATCTTCTTGGGAAAGGTGATGGGTGGTAGTTGATTTTTTCGAGAACTGCTAGTCAATGGGGGGTCCTTGGCCTCTCTAATATAATTCCTTCAGGAATTTCTTGAATTGTCCCCAACGTAGGGTCCTCCAAAAATCGTATTGATTTCGTGGATATGAGCGTCTTCCGTGTTAACTGGAAGTCCCTACGCTGTCTTGTCCCTCCGTTGATCTTTCACTATCTCGCTCACTCCTCTACCGTGGGGATGACTCTAGACAAAGGGTCTAGCCTCTTCACGCCTAGGCTTTTGGTCTTGCCTAGGTGGAGGCATGTTCCTAGGAAGGTGATCATTTCTTTGGTCATTCTGAAGATTCTTCTGCCTAGGATATTAGACCCTGTCTCTACAATCTGTCGGGTCGTGACTGTAGAAATGATGATAAGTACAATATTGAGGGGTGTCAGGCCTGTTTCTAGGCTCCGAACCCTGCCATCGGCCTCTTCCCTTTTGGGAGGCCCATTGCCCGGATCCAATTTGTCTCATGTTGGTTTTGGGGGTTATATCTTTGTAAGCCAGCATGTGTACTGTGTTCACTGTGTTGTGGCAAGTAATTGCCTAGAATTGGGAATAATTTCATTATCAGCTTGGTTCCATTAGTGGTCCTAGGTGAGAGGTGGGTCATCTTCCATGCTGTCTCTGTGGAGCTATAAGACCTCTGCTAGCTCTATTTCAGTGATCAATCAACTCCTCGTTGTGGCCTCATACCTTAGAGACGTGGAATATGATCATCTCCTTCCTTACTTAAGAGTAAAAAATTTTAGGAACATATCCTTAAATTCTAGCCAACTCCTGATACTCCTTGGGACCACCTACCGTTCCAAATTTCTATCGCTCCACTTTAAAGTGAGATGGAAGACCCTGCATTTAATGGTGGAGGTGGCACCTCTTAGGCTCATGTGTATTTTGTAACTATTCAAATGCTTAGCCGGGTCGTCTCTTTTGTCATATGTTGGTATCTTTGATGGCACATAGTGACTCGGGACAAGAGAATTTCTCAGTTCTTGTGAAAAGGCAAATTTTCGTCGTCGTTGTCATCATCAAGGTCACAAGATCTTTAGGGTTCATCTGAGTCCTCTTCATCAGCCTGATATCTAGATGGAGGATGAAATGGGTCCATCTGATCCCTTATCATTTATTCCCTCCTATGGCACCTATTTTTATACGGAGCAGCACAAGAGGCATGTCCTAGACTCTCTTCCAATTGTCCGGCCACAAGAGATGGTGGTTGTCGCCTATTTCCAGGTGCGGGGTGGATGG